GGGATACACTTGTCTAGTTCTTTAATTTCATCAAACATAGTCTTTTTAAAAATGCAGGATAATCTTTCGGTGAAAATTTTTTATGACCGTATTTTTGTTTTATATAAAGTAGACATGTGCATAAAACCCATAACTCGGCGTCTAAACTTAATCTAAAAAAAAGGATTCGTAACCGGTCAAAAATCTAAAATATATCAGAATGCGTTTTGTAAGGGTGGTACAAAATATATCAAAATCAAAGTGTTATTAGCTAGACCCGAACGAATAACCCAAAAACCAAAAAATCTGGAAAAAAATCTAAATCGATATGAATGTCCAAATTAATCATAAATATAAATATTTGAAACATAAATATCTAGTTTAAATATTCAGTTTTATATTTATTTTAAAATGATATTTAAAATTAATTATCTATATTTTAACTAAGTACTTTAATATCCAATTCAATAAAAATAAGTATCTTTTTTTTTTGGTTTTAGATTTTAGATTGCCAAACCAATATAACCCGAGTCCGAACGATATATGATTTCTTTATCAGTTTTAGGATGTGTACAAATTAGAACCAAACCTATATGTTATATTTGAATCTGATCCATACTTACAAACATGTCTAGTTACATATTATGACACCTATGATGTGATATAAATTAGCTTTGATTCAAAATATTCGACCTGTATCCCAATAGGTACTTGAACTCCCAAGCATAACTTATATTATGTTTTATATTTGTTAAATATTTTTTTGTTTATTAGAATAACCCGTAAAATTATAATCATAAAAATATCAGTAATAACATGTTACATCATATAGTTAAATATTAATAGTAGCTATTATTAATATTTATTTTATAAATATATATATATATATATAAAATTTTAAGACTTTATCTATGATAATTATCTTATTATGTATTGGTGGAGGTTTGAAAAAAATTGTTTATTATTTTTTTCTGAATAAGTTACATATAATTAAATGTTAATTTTTTACATTCTAATGTTTTAATTTAGATATGTATATTAAAATCTAAAATTATTTCATTTTAAATATTTTATGGTAGTATTTTGTTATTCTGTAAATGTAATTCATCTAGTTTATATTGTATAAAGTAGATTAATTTATATTATAATTATTATTTTGTGTAATTTTTAGTTACAAATATGAATATTTATATATAAATGTTATAGAAAGTTAGTTCTTATTCTATAAATCAAAATGAGTTAATACTTATTTATAATTTAATTTAATATTATTTACGTTTTTATTATAAAAATAATATTAAAACAATAACTATTTATTTTTAAAGTAAAAATATATTAAAGATATTGTTAAAATGTAATCTGAAAAAGTAGTGAAGAGTATCTTTTTGATATCTTATTTTGAATATATTTAAATATTATAATAATATTATGTTGTTATTTAATAATAATAAATTTGTTATATGTAACATAATACAAAATTAAATAAATATAATGTTTTGAGGTAGACTACTTGTAAGTAGATAAAAAGTGCTTCTGTTTTAATAGTATAGATTTCAGTGTTTTGTCAGTTTACAAAAGTTCTACACAAACAAAAAATACAAATAAAGACAAATTGGTCACTTCATTGGAAACCAAAAAAAGCGTAGAAGCAAAATTATAATCCATAGTATTTTAATGGACGTCGAAGTTTTTATAAAAAAAAATAAGATCCATGAGTAGAAAAAAAGTTTGAACTGACAACATAATAGATTAGTTTACTAGAGAAAGCAATTAGTAGCAGCATGATTAGCAGAGAAGATTAAATGTGAGAGCAAGAGAAAACTAATGATAGGCAAGAAATCGATGTAACTTTCTATTTCTTTTACATCAACAAAATCAGAAAATATTGTGATTGATAAACAAGGAACACAACACAACAATAGTATAAAATTGAGCCATTCTATTATTAGTTTAACAATCGAAATGTTCTTAACTTTTTTTGGGTTCTCTTTAATGACCCAAAGCTGGAGTTGATGACTCTGAACAATTAACCTAAGCAGCGGAGCTGGCCACGATACAGCCAATTCACAGGAAGGAGCAAACGAATCAAATCAATAAACGGTGGGCAAATCCTCAATCCTGTGGTGGCTTAAACAGAGCACAGTCACCAACACTAATCCTCCCCTCGTCTTGCAAAAAAACAACCATCAAAAAATCAAAACTTCGAACAATCAAGCCAGAAACATGTACAAAAAAAACAAACAACTCATCACGGTGATAACAAAAGTCAAAACTTTAAAACCCAATTGAACGAATCTTCGAGCAATCAAGGCGGAAACTCATCTGGGTAATTATAAAAATTGAGACTTTTAAACCCAATGGAATAATAATCTAACAAATACAACTTTTTGGTACCTTAGAGAACGAAGAAGGTGAAGAAAGAGATAGAGACGAAGAACAACCAGGAGCCTCCACGCTTGAAAATTAGACGCGAATGAAGTCTAAACATAAACACGTAAGAGAGCGAGAGATTGATCACGAATCGAGAAGTTTTTTCGATCCAGCAAAGATAGGAAAATCGAGAGAGACGTAAAATAGATTAATAGATTGCAGAAGATAATAAAATAAAAAACTACAGCCCAAGGGCAGTGTAAAGCACAGTTCAATTAACACAAATCAAAGATCATAAAAGCCCATAGAAGTGGAAGAGTCCGTAAGAAGAATCCAGTTACAGCCGGCAGCGTTGAAACGTATTCGCAGCGATGAAGAAGCAGGGGAGTGAGTTGATTGCATCATTTTTGAAGAGAATCGAGGACTCCTGTCTCTAAAGCTTAGTATACGATCCTTTACCTGCCGATCAATCTGAGTTTTTAAAGCATCCACCGAGTCCAGAAGATACAGCTTTGCCAGGTAATTAGTGTTAGCCTTCCTCTCCAGGTTCGACTGTTGAAAGATTGTAGTTGGTTTGTTAGATTTTCCCATTGCTGTTCAGGAACCAGACCACAACGACGCGCCATTGTAGACCAGAGAGACCACTAATAAGGACAGAGGAAGAGTAGATGATGACGCGACTCTGGTGACGAGTTACAGAGCAAACAAGTAGGTGAAGTTTGAAGACCCTAGCTCAGTAATCTGTCTCTGGTCGGGCATCTATTTAGGATGAAAGAGCCATGTGAGAAACGAATGCTTTAGTATGCCTCACGCGATCCAGACTATATGATCCCATGGTACCACTACTCCTTGCCCAGTTAAGCTAGTAGAGTACTTTGTTGAGATTTTGCCTTCTACTTCCCATTCATAGAAATCCTCTTCTGTTGTCAACAGTATTGTTGTTAGGAACACATGGAGCTGCAGTTGTTTCTCAGAACGAGGATGAGCAAGTGTCCAGTGATCATCCCTAAAGAGAGATGATGAGACAGTTGCATCGTCTTGAATCCCAAGGGAGAAGTTAGATTCATTATTGAGGAAAGCTTTTAAAGAGCAAAATGTTGACCAGTTGTCAGTCCAAAAACGGCAAGTATTACCATTCGTAAATCTCACCTCTCATCTTGAGCAATTTATTGATTAACCATGAGTTTCTTGTACTTGGCTGAATAGTCCAGAAGGAGTTAAGATCACCATTGAGCACCGTATCCTTGAACTATGCTACCCATTTTGATCCAGCTTGAAAGAACAGGAGCCAAATCAGCTTCAACATACATGCTTTATTCCAAATTGTAAGATTCTTAACTTCTTTTTTTCGGTTTTGTCACAACTTCCCAACTGACCCTTGCTGTGCGATGTGGCTCTCTATGTTACCTTTCCACAGAAATACTTCACAAAGTGAATTTATTCGCTTTATACAAGCCTTAGGTAGTACAAATGATGAACACCAGAAGTTCGTAACTCCAGCGATGACTGTCTTGATGAGTAGTAGACGACCCGCAAAAGATAAGGCTCTCACACTCCAAGATTTGGACTTTTGTTTCACTTGTTGTATTAGAACTTGACGGTTGAGTAATGTAAGCTTTTTTGTGCAGAGTGGAACTGCTAAGTAGCGAAGAGGGAGGGTACCCTGCGGCATTCCAGTAGTGAATTGTATTAGTTCACACTCCTCATCTGAAAGGCCTGACGAGAAGAAGGACGACTTCTCTACGCTTACTCCCAAGCCAGAACGAAGCTCAAACTCCCTGAGAACCTGCAGAACAGCTTGAAAAAATTACAATTTAGAGTATCGAGCCCAGTACCCACCACTCCAAAAGTTGAGTCTTTGATAAGTCAGACTGGCTTATCACGAGCTAAACTGATTGCATAACAACAGTAATGGAAAAAAAAAAATCAGAGAACGATGAAGATGATGTTTAGGATAAGTTTTAAAACATTAATTTTGATAACATTTCCACCAGTGTATTCTTAGGTTTAATTATTACAAACTTGCATAGTATGACGACGTTTAGGAAAGCTCTGTCTTATAGGAACAGAACAACAACAACTACTAACTTAGGAAACGTTTATTGACTCGGAAACAAATTGAAAAAAAAAACTCTTAAAAACTCGCAAGACTCAGCAATCTTATCCTTCACTCCATAGCATCATTTTGCCTTCCCCTCTAACATACTCACAACTTGAGACATTTTAGGTCGTAGGGTCAGTGACGCGTTGGTGCACATCAATGCCACGTTGAGCATCAAGATCGCTTCTTCTTCTGAGTAATCTGAGGATATCCTCGGATCAACTAGTTCAAGTAAGTTTCCCTTCTCTTGCAACACGTAAGCCTGCATGAACAAAGTTATATTGAGTGGATGAAAGAAATGAGTGGATGAAAGAGATGAGAAGGCTAACCCTTTCAAGAAGGTAGACGAAGTCTTCATTTGGACTAAATGTTGTGTTACTCTCCCCACTTACGATCTCGAGTGCAACGACGCCAAAACTATAAACGTCCGCTTTTTCAGTCAAGTAACCTCGCATGGCGTATTCTGGAGCCATATAACCTCTGCATCGCCAAATGAAAATATCAAGAAAAGAAAATGTATCCTTGAGTATATTGAAGGTAAAAGAGAGCCTTACGCAGTTCCTGCAACACGAGTGCTGATGTGAGTGTTTCCATCATCGTTCAGCTTTGCCAATCCAAAGTCGGAGATCTTGGCGTTGAGATCCTTATCGAGTAGCACGTTGCTCGCCTTTATATCTCTGTGTACAATCTTTATCCTAGATTCTTCGTGGAGGAATGTAAGTCCTTTAGCTACCCCCAAACAAATCTTCTTCCTCGTTGACCAGTCTAGTTTCAGCCTAGCATTCACATCCTTTCCTGCAAAAGAAACTCACCCCCACAGATATTTACAGCATTCATGGTTCAGTTGCAAACTCAGAATAAAAACAAACGTACCAAAGAGAGCACGAGATAGACAGTTGTTCTCTAGATACTCATACACCAATATCAATTGGTTTCCTTCAACACAACAACCGTATAGCTTCACAAGATTTGGATGTTGCAGAGCTGAGATCATTCCAATCTCAGTTACAAACTCGCGGTTTCCCTGCCTTGATTTTGCTGACAATTGTTTTACTGCAATCAGTTTTCCTTCTGGCAGTACACCCTGCACAAAGACAAAGCAATGGGAGCACATTCTAATATCTCTTCCAAAATATACATATCCCCTAGTTTTACTCTAAAAAGTTTTCATAAGAAATTTGAAGAACACAAGTGAATTATTACCTTGTAAACAGGGCCAAATCCACCTTCACCAATCTTTAATGCTACATCAAAATTATTGGTAGCTGTTTTTATCTGTTGTAGAGTGAAACTTCCAGTTTGAGGATTTAAATTCCTTAGCTCTGTTCAGTCATAGACAAATCCAAATGAAAGTACTCTTCAGCCATGTGAATTCTAAAAAAAACTCATAACAAAACCAAAGCTTGTAATACCTATTTCATTAGCCCTTTTGTTATCCTTTTTGTCACGTCTATTCTTCAAGAATATACCAAATATGAGCAATAAAAGAAGTGCGGCTGCAACAGGTATCCCTGCTTTTAGTAAGATCTCTTTCTTGTCATAGTACACTGGTGGTTTGAAATCTGAACACAAGCAAAGACACACCGTCATCTATGATACATTTTAAATATGCAAAGTAAGAAAAAACCTTACTTGGTTCCACTGTTATGGCTGATATCATAGGACCATACACTCCTCTTGTTGGAATGCCTGTTGTCCCTTTCCCAGCCCACCGCAAGCCGATCTTCAGATTATGGTCCGTTACATTCACTGGAAACGATTTTATGACTGGCTTCCCGGATCCACCAGCTGCTTCTTGAATATTGAAGTTTTCAATCACTAACTTATCCTGTGTTGAGAGAAATGAGTTAAGACAATATGTTATGGTTAACATTTTGTTCGACAGAGTAAGTGGAAAAAAGTCTATTGGTTCCATAGATATACCTGCAGATAAATATTGAACAAGCGCTTTCCGATGCCAAAAAATGTTTTGTCATCCGTGAAGATGATTTCAGCCAAGTGGAGGTGTACAGTGTAGTTACCATTTCCCATGCAGAGTCCGTAGTACGTTAATGATGAAGGAGAAATTCTAGCTGTTCTGTAGAGCCCAGAGCTGAGACAGGAAGCATTAACGGATAATATGGATGCGTTCTGTACAGTGTAATCATCTAAATCATCCCCATTACTGTCCATGAAGTTCCCAGTGCTGCTAAACGCCCAATGCTTGTTATGGCCAGTGAAGAACATAGAAGGACCTTTCGGATTCTTGTCAGCCTCATATATTATTCCTTTATCCACGCTAAGTTCACCTCCTCCACAGTTTATGTACAAGTTATACTTATCTACAAATATATTAAAAAAAAAAAAATCAAGTTTTAATCAAGAACATAACCATGATCCGCATTTTATTTAAAGTGTTAACACGGTTGCTTACAATCTCTCTTAGGAAGACGACAAGGGATGTGGTGAAGGTAACATGATGATTCCTTGTGTCTGAAACGTCAAATTCAGATAGAATTGTCACTTCACTAAACATATGATTAAAAATGCACTCCAGAGAGAGAGAGACTTCTTACAATTTATTCCCCCGGGAGAAGCCTTCCACCCAATTTCTAGGAAATGTAGCAAAAAAAATATTGTTATGTCTGCTAACGAATGAACAAAGTATTCTGAATATAAGAGTACGTTTGAGTTTACTTACGAGGTAACCTCGCTGCATATACTCCCGAGAATTGAACTTGCATCGGTAAAGTTGTTGTAAGAAACATCACTGCACATATCAAGAAGAATAAATACAGTTTCTGAAATCTCTGTTAAGTGGTAAAATGAAAGTTCAGCAGAGGCAATGTCGTACACGTTTTTGTTTTTATTAACGAAGTAGCTTGGAATAGCTCCTGTCAGCTTGTTTCCTGTCAAATAACTGAAAAGAGAAGATTTAGAAATGCTTTCATGATTAGGGAGATTAATACTCAAAGCTAATCCATTTCCTACTTACATGAAATCCGCTTTCTTCAGGTTTTCAAACGTTGAAGGAATCTCACCGGTTAGTAGATTGAAGCTGAGGTCACTACATAGTAAACAGACAGAGTTCAATACCATGGAAATATAAACAATATTGAAGGTCAACGTATGAAAAATACTTACAGTGTTTTAAGCATCTTCAGCTGCCCAATATATTCTGGAAGCGAGCCATTTAAGTTGCAATTTCTCAGTATCCTGCATTTTCATTGGAGGATGAATGAAAAGAAAGTTTCAAGCAAACTTACAAAACAAAATTTGAATGGTTTATACTTACAGTATCTTGATAGATCCCAAGGTATTCAATGCAGGGAAACGAGACGGTTTTCCTCCTAAGTCGCTAATCCTTCTGTCAATCATATAATCAACCAAAGCAAAAAAAATACGATGATCAATGTTCCATGAGAAAACCAATTTAAAACGAAGTTGGTTTTGTGAATGGCTTACAGGTCGGTCAAGCTGGTTAAGGTTGAAATACTAGAAGGTATCGGACCATCCAAACCTGAACCATGCAACTGCCTGCAAAAGGAAAACTTGTTTGGTTTAGTATGCCTTTTCTTGAGGACATGCAAGTGCTTGTGGAGAAAGAAGGAAAAGTCTTACAGTTTCATTATGTTTGACCAATTGCCGATGAAATCTGGTATTCGGCCAGTGAAGTTATTATCACTCATCCTCCTAGGATCACACAAATACAACCATTTAAGATATTAACAGAGATTATCCAACAAGGACTAAATTTTGTTATTTTTCATAACAACAATGTTAATAAGAATAAGTTCGCTTACATCTCAGTCAAGTTCTTGAGCAATGCAAGTTCTTCGGGCAATGGGCCAGTGAAAGCATTTGACGAAAGATGACTGATGCAAAAATCAGAGAAGATAATAAGATATTACATTAGTGCATAGCCTACATTACACGTCGTTATCAATTCTAAGGTTTTTCTATGTCTATGTGAAGGACAAATGAAAGATATCCAGGAACAACCAATAAAGAGATAAGATGAAGAATCAGAAAAAAAAAAAAAAAACATACAGTCTCTCCAAATGAATCATGTTTTTAATCTCAAGAGGGATATGTCCTGAAAACAGATTTCCTTCGAGGCTCCTGCATAATATCAAATACATAGATCATTCTGAAACACTCTAGAATCACAAACGAAGGATTTTTAAGCATGACGTGAACACTTTCAGGCTAAGCCATTTGAAATGTTAAGGTTAAGTTTTAAGCAAGGTTCTAATACAAGTGTAAGAAGGTGTAACAACATTACATACAAGTTTCTGAGAGTTGTAAGGCGGGTTAGGACTTTTGGGAATGGACCAGACAATCTGTTCCCCATGAAAGATCTGTGTATGGATGCCCACAAATACAAACCGATTATTACAGAACAAAATTAAAGATCATGATCTATATTTTCAGTTTCATTACGGAAGCAAGATAGAATCTTACAAATCTTCTAAGCGCATAGAAGAAGCCCATTCCTCTGGAATAAAACCAGTCAGATAGTTACGACTAAGGTCTCTGCACCAAAATTGTATAAGTTGAGAACCAATTTCTATAACTTAAAACTGTAAGAAAGTATGAAAAAATCAGAAGAGTGTTGATGACTTACAAAACTTTCAGGTTACGAAGCTTGGAGAACTCAGGAGGGACGATGCCCGTTAGGTTCTGCGACTTCAGGGCTCTGCAAAATTGAGCACGATAAACCGGATATGACGTTAAACCGGGTAACTGGTTTTGTTTTACCCATACATGGACCCTAAGTAATCTAGTTAATCAGACAACTGATGTTTAAAAGATCATTCTGTAAATTCTAAAAATGTGTAAAAACAAACATAGACGAGTCTTTAACATTCACCAGGATACTACCAGCTATAAAAGTGAGATATGTATTTTGAAAACCAAAGTATAAACTATACGTCATACTATAAAACATAACTAATAAAATCTTAACGGTTAATGATGCTAAGTAGTATAAAATACATGAAGAATATGTTTATTAATTAGATTTAATAGATGTAGATAACGAAATATAATAAATAGATGCATTAATGTGAGGTATGTAATATATGGATTGTGTAATACAAATGATGATTCTAGAATGATCCAAATTTAAATATCTTTGTAAAGTAGATAAAATATAAGATACTAAATTAATAGATTAGTTACCAAAAAAAAAAATATATATATATATATATACAGACGAGTTAAGTGGGGGAAATGGCGGGAGTAAGAAGAAGAGGCTTTACATTTTGATAACAGAACAAGATGAGTTAAGCGGCGGAAATGAGCAATCGCAAGTGGTGACGACCCACTTCCCTTTACCACTACACGGATCTTTAGTGAAGTCCCAGTCTCTCTTCCCTAGCTTCTTCCCTATCTCCTTCAGTGCTCTCACTTCCCAATTTCATTTTAAAAAAACAAAACATTATCAAAAACTTTTTATGAATCTTATGTTTGATTTCGCAATTAGGAACTGTTAAAGGAGAAGGGGGCTGTGAATTGTATTTAGGTTACCTTCCTCTTGCTGGAGCTTATTGTTGTCCGAAGCTCCACAACGTCCATGCAAAATCAAAGTGAAGATGATGATTATGAGATATCGGCTAACCCAAGAACTCATCCTTTCGATGAAAAAAGAAGAAAATTTAGATTTATTGGCCAGTTACACTCTGATGGAATGAAGTATATATTCAGATAACCCAGATGAGATTTATAGCCTTTTTTATTTGTTAACCAGTCACAAACATATAAGACTGAAAAACAGAAAAAAGAGAAAGTCTATAGCCTTTTTTGTTTGTTGTGTTTTTTAAGTTGTGAACTGGAATTTTAAGATCGATAGGTAGAATTGATAAGATTTCGAATAGAAAGAAACACAAACTTCTAAGGTATTTAATGATCTGCTGGTAGAAGTGATAAGATTTTAAGACGCAGAGCTTCGTCTTCATTTCACATGTCAACCTCTAAACAATGCGCATCATTTCACTCAAATCAACCCAGCTTGAAGAAGTCGACATAGACATAAACACACACACGCATATGTACATATATATATATGGAGACGAGTATAATGGAATAACCTTGAAGGCAGCATCAACATCAGGGAAACGGAAGCATACTCCAATAGTATAATGGAATAGAAAGAAACACAAACTTCTAAAGTATTTAATGATCTGCTGGTAGAAGTGATAAGATTTTAAGACGCAGAGCTTCGTCTTCATTTCACATGTCAACCTCTAAACAATGCGCATCATTTCACTCAAATCAACCCAACTTGAAGAAGTCGACATAGACATAAACACACACACGCATATGTACATATATATATATGGAGACGAGTATAATGGAATAACCTTGAAGGCAGCATCAACATCAGGGAAACGGAAGCATACTCCAATAGGTGCTCTCTCAAGGCCTGAACGCGTAGAATGAACATTACCGGTTTAGTTCATCGGTCTCATGGTGAAGCGGTGTGAACGCTATCGTTGTTTGTCCCATCATAAGAAAGATTACAAATTGTAGCTCAAACCAAAAAAAAAAAAGAATATCATCAAGGTGGTTGGCACGTGGCCAGAAAAATAAAAGTGAAATAGTTGAAACCATAACTACACACTCGAAAAGACACAGAATTTTACAAGGTGCCTAACAGAATACAATATACAAGCCTGTGGGTTCGTCAAGACGACGAACGTTGTGACCAAATGCTCTAAAGTAGAATTCTACGGATTTAGCGACGTCCTTAACGTACACAACACAACCGTGTAAGCAAGCGCTGGTCTCATGATATTATCTTACAACCGTTTTGTCTTCTTCTATAATCCACGTATTCTGAGAATTTCTAACTAGAAAGTTTGGTATTGATTCATCTTGACTTGATTGAATCCCAATCTACAAACCTGCAAATTAGTTGTTGTCGTCATATATATTTTTGACAATTCTGTATATTCAAACAAGGTTCTATGTTATAAAGATTACACAAGTAAAAAACAAAACATTTAAGCTTTGTTGCAACAAGGATTTTTAACATAAAAATCCCTCAATTAAGTTTACTAGGTGATTTCCCGTGGTCATGCACGGTCATAAATATTTATAAAATAAATATATTATAATAATTTATTGATATTTACTTTAAATTTTAAATTAATTTATAATTTGTAGGTATAATTTATATTAATAATATTATATTAATTTAATTATATATATAATTTTAGATATGTTATATTTTGTTAGTTTTATTGTTTTTACGAATGATTTAGTTATCATCTGGATATATTAGATTCTATCTATTTCTTTGAATTCAACTATAATCTTTTTTATCCTAAATATATTAAATTTTTGATTCATTGTCTTATTTGCATTTATGCCGATTGTTATCTTAGAAATATAAGTATATCTAGTAAGATTATGTATAACTTAAGATTTTTTGTGCTTAGAAAGAAAAAGAGAAAAACTAAACTGTCTGATACTAGATTACATACATAAGTAACTAATACATTTTTGGAAGCTTATGAACACATATCAATATTTACAATATTTAGATTGATTGGATGAAAAATTGAAATTTATTTTAAATAATTTTAAAAATAAGGATTCTGATTTGCTTAAGTATTTTGATTATGGTTATATTAAGTTCCACAAACATAAAAACAGAAAATTAAAAATCAAAAGAGTTATTAAGAAAACATATAATTTCAACAATTAAAATATATTATATCTACTTCATTAAATTATATAGTGTTATGATATTTTAAAATAATTGTAGTTATTTAATCAAAAATGTTTATTATTAAAATTTATTTTTAGTTTTGTTTTTAATATCTGTTAAAATATGCAGTAAAAAATGTTATTGTTTTTGAAGGATTATATTTTATAAGTAAAATAGAATTTATATGTTTTGTTGATTGTGAGATATTATAGTCAAATAAATATACTAAAAATAAAAAAAATATATATATATTTCAAGAATACAGATTATAAAAAAATTCAATTAAACATATATCAGTTTATGTTACTTAATTATTTTATGTAATTATCTAATAAATTAGATAGATATATACCAAAAAAATAATTACTTTATATATATATATATATATATATATATATATTATTGTTTAAAATTATTATTTTTAAAAAAAAAAATAATTCTTTTTCTAATATCAAAATTAGTTGTGTGAAATTTTTTTATGGAATCACATTATATACAAATTATTTTTTCATCTAAGAAGATATAGATATGAAGTATTTTATTACTTCAAAAGTATATTTTATGTTATCTAAAATATATTTAAATTAAATATTACTATTTTGTGAACTTTCCTTTTTTATGAAACCATATTTCTATATACTTATATTTTCGTTTTAAATAGTTTTGTAAACTTTACAAATGTTTCCTTTTTATTATATTGTTATTTGGAAAATTTTGAAAAGGAAATAATAATATTTAAATGTATTTTTTAATTCATTAGGGGTATCATAGTAATCAAGCATCGTGAAAGTTAACATGAGCGCGACACATAAGAAAGTGACTTCTCAAATAATATTATAGAGATTTTGGGTAAAAACTCCTAAACTAAGTATTTAATGAAAAAAACTCCAAACTAACTTTATTTAGTGAATTAAACCCTCGCCGGTCATAATTACCAGTACTACCGGTAAATCTTTAGTTTAGGGGTTTTATCATTAAACATAAAAATTCAAAAAAAAAAAAATCAAAATATAATAACATTATCTAAAAATTCGTAATTTTAATTTTCAAAACTAGCATTTTAAAAATTTCTGTAAATATATGAATGATTTCTTATCCTTGTAAAATGGATTTTTAACTCTAAAATACCTTAACTAAGTTTGTTTTGGGTAAAAACCCCCAAACTAACAAATGCAAATAAAATGAAACATAGTTTAAAATTAGCATTTTGCAAACTTTCTGTAAATATATGAGTTTGATTTGTTTTAACATCAATATTATATATATAGATTAAAATTTTAACACACCAAAATATAATAAAAAGCATCTAAAGATTTATTATTACATTTTTATTAAATAAGATATAATTTTTATTCTGTTTTCTTGTTTTTATATTTATAAGTTTTGATAATTTTTATTACAAGTAAATCATTAGATAATTTTTCTTATATTTTCTTGGTTTTTACATTTTAAATTTATACATATATAATTTTGATTTTAAAAGGATAACAAATCAGACTCATATGGTTACAATTTTTTTTTAAAAAATGCTAGTTTTTAAAATTAAAATTACATATTTTTCGATAATGTTATTATATTTTGAATTTTATTGATTTTTATGTTTAATGATAAAACCCTAAACTGAAGATTTACCGGTAGTACTGGTAATTATGACCGGCTAGGGTTTAATTCACTAAATAAAGTTATTTTGGGGGTTTTTTCATTAAATACTTAGTTTAGGGGTTTTTACCCAAAATAAACTTAATTGAAGGGTTTTTATGTTAAAAATCCTTGCAACAATCATATCTAGTCCGGGTTCTGCTTTGGAACAAAAATCATGTCCATGTACGAAATTGAGAACTAAGTTAAAAAGTTTTTATCAAACAAAAAATGATCGTTTAGAAATATTTTTAAAAGCAACGACGCTGCTGAGTAAATAAACAAAGTGAATTGTCATCTAAAACTAGAGTGTACTAGTAAAATCATGCTTTACTTTATTTCTTCCTACTCCGTTTTTTGCTTAGCGGATGGAGTGCGAGTTGAGTAGCGGTAGCCACTTGTCCTTCCAACAAATTTGAGAACTTCATCTATCAGAATCACCGGAAGCGACACAGACAACACCAGCAGCCACTCGTTCATGCTCAGTGGCACTATCCCAAATACCTGAGATAAGAATGGCACATACAGTATCACAAAGTGCAGCCCAAACGACACCGCCATTGCAAGGAGCAGCCATGGGTTCACCCACGGTGGCATCGTCACAAGGCTGCCGTCCTCTGAGAGTGCGTTCAGGGAGTTGAACATATCAATAGCAACCAACACGGAGAGGGAGAGTGTCGATGCTTTGATTTTCCCCTGATGGAAATAGTCGCACGGGTTTGAGTCGAAGGAGAATGTCTGAGAGCCAGCTGTGAAAGGAGAGACTTTGAATCCTTCCCATGAAGAGCACTGGCCCCAATGAGATAGCTGTGAATAGCTCACTAGGCTGTGACCGTCTTGGCTCAAGTCTATGCCCATGAAGCTGTTATGTGTGTACCATATGATGAATACTCCCACCGTTGCTACTCCCACATACATACCAATCACCTGTAGACAAATTAACCCATTATAGATTATAGAGTAAGAAAGAGCCCCAGAAGATGAACAAAAAGGTCATTGCATACCATATATCGGAAGAGGATCCAGGGAGTGATAAGCGAGTCATCACTTATGCGAGGAGACTTCTTCATAATATTCTTGTCAGGAGGATTGAATCCCAAAGCCGTAGCTGGAGGACCGTCTGTGACTAGATTCACCCATAGAAGCTGAACTGGGATCATGCCTTCTGGGATTCCAAGAGCTGCTGTCAAGAATATTGATGCAACCTCACCAATGTTTGAAGAGATCATGTACCTTTTATTCCACATTGTCAGATTAATTTGATCAATATACAATAATGTTATAACGAAGAGGTGTGTGTATATATAAATAAATGTAACAATAAACGACTCACCTGATGAAAGCCTTCATGTTGTTATAGATTGACATGCCTTCACCAACAGCTGCAACAATCGTGCTGAAGTTATCATCTGCTAACACCATATCAGATGCTTCTTTCGCTACCTGCAAACATAACCCCAGAGCTTCAGAAAGGCTCATAGATCCATAATCATCCGGTTGTTGCAGATGGGATGAAAGAGAGACAATACCTCTGTGTCGGAAATGCCCATAGCCACACCAATATCAGCCAACTTAAGTGCAGGAGCATCATTGACTTCATCTCCAGTCATGGCAACCACTTCCCCATCTTCTTTGAGTAACCTAACAATCTCTTGTTTGTGCTTTGGTTCAGCCCTCGAGAACAAGAGCCCTCCAGTTTGTCTCAGATGATTCTTCTGATCTTGAACATCCATAAATTCTTTTCCAGTCAAGCTTCTTGTAGATATATCTTTGTCTGCTTCAAATACTCCAATCTCACGGCAGATTGCTTCTGCGGTGCTCTTGTTGTCTCCGGTAATGACCATGACGCAGATACCTACTGTTCTGCAGTCTGCAATGGCTTGACGCACCTCTTTCCTTGGAGGATCCTTCAAACATTGAAAAGTTTGAGCATCAGTAATCACCAAAGAAGAACAAGAAGGAATCTAAAATATAATCATGACCTGCAACTCACCCTTAACCCAACAAATCCAACAAAAGCAAGATTGGATTCAATAGAAGAATAGTTAGATGGGTTGAGAAGTTGCTGGTGAGCAGGATGGTCCTCGCTGCCATCATAAGTGGCAAAATCTGATGGAACATCCGAGTACGCAAATTCAAGACATCTTAATGCACTCATCGACGTATCATGCAGGCTTTGTAAAATAAGATCTCTTGAGTATTGGTCAAGTTCTGGAGTGGAACCATCAAGTAGCTGAATACGTGTACTCCTTTCCAATACATTTTCAACGGCACCCTGCAAAATTTCATAATATGGTCTCTTAGGTGCTGAAGAAAAGAGGGGACACAGGGTTTTCCAACTAATAATAGGTATCCATGCGAACCAAAGCACTAGCCACATAATCATAGATAAACCAGCCATCCGAAATATTATGCTAATGAAGAAAAACAGACCTTGACCAGTAGCAGTTTCTTTCCTGAGCTGGAATCCACCATAACTCCCATTGACTTGCGGTCCCGGTCGAACTCAAGAGTGGCAATCCGTTGCTCTAGTTCACTCCATAGCCGACAACAACCTTCAATAATTAAGAAACAGGTCAAGCTCTAGTTCATTGAATCTGTAAAACTGTGGAAAATATGAGAAACAGATATAATTAAGAACGCATACGTAAGACATCGCCATCAGCCAAAGTCGAAGCTTAAGTCGATCCTTCGTAAAATCCCATTTTCCCAACCAAAACCTGTTCAAGGAAACAAACACCAATATTAAGTTAAGAAGAAAGTTGCAACATAGTGTAGTAGACCGCTTTACCTTTAAAGCTGCCTTAGTAGGCATGCCCCTAGTTACAAACTGATTGTCAGATTGCTCGACACTAGCGTCGTTGCAAATAGCAGCAATTTTCGCAATCATCTGAAGATTTGCATCCATCCGACCCGCTGGCCAATCTTCAATCTTTCCATCTCGTGGATCAAATGAGGTGCCCTCAACATTGAAAGATCGAAGCGTTCCAATTCTAGAACCCATAGCAACAAGCTTTGAAACAGCCATCTGATTGGTTGTCAGAGTCCCAGTTTTATCAGAACATATAACGGTTGTGCATCCAAGAGTCTCCACACTGGACAACTTCCTAACCAGAGCATTCTTCTGAGCCATCATCCTCGTCCCAAGAGCCAAACATGTGGTAATAACTGCTGGCGGACCTTCAGGAATCGCAGCAACCGCTAACGCCACAGCAATCTCAAAGTAATATGTGCACTTCTCGAAGGAGAACTTGAAGTTTCTAGGCCAGCCATCAACATACTCCCAGAAGAGAAAGTACTTAACATTGATGAACCACACTAACGCACAAATCAACCCAATGATCATAGTCAGAGCTTCTCCAAACTCATTAAGCTTCTTCTTCAAAGGAGTATCTTCCTCGTGTTGTGCAGCTTCCTGAATCTGTGAATGTACCCTCCCAATCTCAGTACTCATCCCAGTATCTGTAACCAAGCATATACAATTCCCATTCACAACAGTGGTTCCTGCAAACACCATACATTTCTTCCCTTGAATATCAGCATTCTCCTCCACAAGCTTAGTAGTCTTACTAACCGCCTCACTCTCCCCTGTCAAAGACCCCTGCTCAACTCTCAGCGTGGAACTAATCAAAGCCACCACACGCATATCAGCGGGCACCTTATCACCAACCCTAAGCTCCACAATATCACCAGGAACAAGCTCCTTAGCAGGCAAGCTAGAAACTTTATTCCCATCGCGCGTAACAGTAGCTTGCTGATACTGAATCTCCTTCAAAGCTTCCAGCGCCTTCTCAGCATTAGTCTCTTGCCAGATCCCAACAATCGCATTAACAATCAAAATCAAGAAAATCACAAGCGGCTCAACAAACGCAGTGATCCCCATCTCACCTCCTTCTTCCCCATCAACGAAGGCTAACACAAATGAAATAACAGCAGCCGCTAAAAGAATACGAACCAACGTATCATTAAACTGCTCCAATATCAATTTAAAAATAGATGTCCCCTCAGGCTTCTCTAGCTCGTTTAAGCCATAGATCTCATGACTCTTCACCACCTCTTCGGTAGTTAAGCCTCTCTCGCGAGTAACTCCGTAATTCTCTTCGCATTCAGTAACAGTTTTAGCCCAAGCAGAGAATGTATCAGATTTTAAGGATGTAGAAGGAAAGCCTTCCTTCTTCCTGAGATCTCCCGATCCTTTCCCCATGAATCCGCAGCAGAGATAATTCTCGCGGAGAATCGCCAAAGCTTACTGCAATTATAGTATATATAAAAATGAAAATAAAATTAATTATACATAAAAAAAAACAAAATCAATATCTAAATGAAATGTCAGCGTCATCGTCATCATTTCACACAAAGTTTGAAGGAAGAATGGATCGAGAATCGGTTCTATTCATCTGACTATAATTCAAACATGAGCAAAATTTTGGATCTGAGTCAAGGAGGCGATTACATGGTACTAGAGAAGCGCAATCAATCGATGAGAAAAGTTGAAGATAGTGAAACTTAAACTAACTTACCAGAGAGGGAGAGAAAGCTTCCCGCTGCAAGTAATCGCACACTGGGGACGTCTCTCTGAGAATAAAACAAATCAGCATATTAAGGGGAACTCTCTGATTTTGACAGAAGCTTTCGAAGCCCATATTGTTATGGACTGTGTAACGTGTCTACTTTGGATCTTATTTGGGCCTATAAGAAATGTGACTTTAACAATTTGGGCCTTTATAATGTCGTACGAGTAACACGTTTTTATGCAATGAAAGAGAACATTATGTATTTTATAATTCTCCAAATTTGATATTCGACCGATATTCAAAACTTTAAACCGTATGTTTTTGGAGATTTAAATAGAAAAACTAAAGTAGTTTTTTTCAATTAAAGTAAAGTATTGATCCGTATTTGAAGGTTGTGTTGATCCAGTAGGGATTCCTCTTGTCGGATTATGAAGTCTCAGGTTCTTGTACGTTATCGTTTGGCGGGATTAGGCAGCAACGATAAGTAGTAGTGTGGGTGTGGGAAGTGGAGATTATCGTGTGGCGGGCTAGAGTAGCAGCAGCAATGAATCCCGATTATTGGCATGTGTTTATTTTTTAAGTCTGATGAGTTGGTTAATTGGTTTAGACTCGAGTGTAGTAGTTGATCGTTATTCTGGTTTTAGTTGTGGTTTTAGTTTGTATGCTTTGATTCTGTAAGTCATCCCGGTGTGGGTTCTAGTTGCCGCTTTCTATGGGTTCTTATTCTGGGGCTATCTCGTTAAGCCGTCAGTAATATATCCGTTTACGTATGAACTCTTGTTTTCTACTTTGGAATGAATATCAAAACCTTGACGGAAAAAAAAATTAAAGTAAAGTATTGATAAGGAGATACTGTAACCATTTTGTGATATTTCATTACTGTATGTTCTTTTTTAGTTGTGAATAGCATGATATATAAAAGTGTCAAATATTATACGACTCAATCAACGTATAAATGTCTGAGATTGGAGAAAGAAATGGCAAAGTATGTTGTTTTGCGTTGCATTATTCTATATGCAATTTTTAGCAAAAAAAAAACTAACAATTACAATTGTCATACATCTTCCATGTCCTCTGTTCCAAAACACGATCGGATAAAACAAGCAGACGCCGTCACCATAACAGCCGCGAATATCGGAGGCATGAACAAATCGAAACGCGATCTCTTCACCATGTGAGACGGCACGCACACACTCTCCCCCGGAAAATCCATCGGAATCTTCACGAACCCATCTCCTCGTCCGCACGAAGACGAAACCGTAGACACAAACGCCAACTCGGGAGCGAAAGAAGCCACGGCTACAGTTACCATGAGGAGCACCGTCCACGTTGTAGCCTGAACGATGACCGGCCAACGCGCCGAGACTCTCCTGAGAAACGGTTCCACTAGCGACGGAATACGGTGATACATTCCGATGATCAGTTTTCAAGAAGCTTTAATTTGTTTGTTTAGCTCTCCTCGTGAGAAGTACTGCTTCTTGCACGTTTAGGTTCTTAACTAACTGCACTTCTTGTCTGAAAAAGATTTAGTTCTTCATTTAGGTATGCTTGCCCCATTCTCCTTGAACTCTTCTCTTACTTTGCCCTTCCTTTGCGGGTCTTCTCCTTCTTTCCCTTTCAGACTCCCACGTTTTCTGTCTACCTCAACAGAAGCATATATTATTGTCTTTTTAAAAATAAAGATATTATTGATGAGAAACATCCTGAGCCCTCTGTGGATGTTATTCCCACATTGTCCACTCTTCAGACCTAGAGATGTCTGAGCGTGAGGGAGGGTATTGATGAGAAACATCCCACATCGGAAATATAAGAATTAATCTACTACTATAAAAAGGGTTAGGGCCAATCCACTAATCACCAATTGGTTTTAAGTTGGAAGCCCATAATAAACCCGAATCTAACATGGTATCAGAGCGATAAGATCCTTTGACTTAATTTACTACAACTACTACTATACCGATGTTGGGCCCTCTGTGGATGTTATTCCCACATTGTCCACTCTTCAGACCTAGAGATGTCTGAGCGTGAGGGAGGGTATTGATGAGAAACATCCCGAGCCCTCTGTGGATGTTATTTCCACATTGTCCACTCTTCAGACCTAGAGATGTCTGAGCGTGAGGGAGGGTATTGATGAGAAACATCCCACATCGGAAATATAAGAATTAATCTACTACTATAAAAAGGGTTAGGGCCAATCCACTAATCACCAATTAGTTTTAAGTTGGAAGCCCATAATAAACCCGAATCTAACAGATATCATCATGTTTTTTATTTGGATATACAACAACTAGCAGACATTTTTTTTCAAACAACTGTAGTGTAGTTTTTTATGAGTGAGATTAAATGTATATTATATGCTAATGACAGGTTTATATGCTTTTTGTTGGCTCACTAAAACTCTCTCAGTATACAGACCCTTAATTAATTGGTTTCACCCAGTGTTTTGAACCCCGATCCGGACCCATGGTTGAACTAGTAAACTCGGTTACCTTAAATAAATCCGGTTCGAATTTTGTTAAAAACCCAAAATTTTAAAATCCGCATAAACTCGGAAAATTTCACTAAAACCCAAAATCCGATACCGGTTGAACCAATAAATAAAATTTGACCTTTTTCAGTTTTAAATTACGTTTCTATTTTTTTTTTATTCTAAATTTAAAATTTACGTTTGCAAGAAAGGTGAACAAGTTATTATTATTTTTTTATTTAGTTTAGTTTATAACAAGTCATTACATTTTTTAATTACAGATAAAAAGAATAAGATAATATGATCCTGTGGATTATGAATCTATTGACAAAACATAGTTTTAGATTTTTGAAGAAGAAGAATCTGGCGAGCTTGATTATAATGAATTAGAGAATGCTCTTGCTAAAGAATATTCCAGAGATGATGAAGTGACAAACTCAGAAAATCTTGTTGGTAAGTTTTAAATTTAGATTAAATTTTCTGATTTTTTATCATATATAATACCTATTACGTTATTTTATCTGTGACTTTTAGATTTTCATGAAAAGGAACTGGACGGTGATAACGAGAACCCAAATTAGTTGATGTGATTCAGTGTTAGTTTATTTTTGTTATTGACAATTTATTACAATGATGTTTTATTTTAGATTGAAGTTTAATTTATTATTCTTATTAGACATTTAGATATTTATAAATTTTATATCTTTGTTTTTTTTTAGATATCATTACTCTTAACTTGTTATAAAAAAATTTAAATAGTTTAAACTAGTTTTTTGATATTTTGTATATTTATACATAATATGTTTTAAAAACATTTAGAAAATATTTAACTTTAGTTTCTTTATTTTTATTTTTATAGGTAGTATATTACTATATAATAAAATTTAATTTATTAATCCGCAGTTTATCCACAGTTGATTAAATAACTCGGTAAATCGTCTGGATCGGTTTAAAAACATTGGTTTAACCTAAAATCTGATGCCTATGGGTAGAGTGTGACAAGATTGTTTTACGATAGTGAAATTAGAAAGGATCAAATAGAACTCTGTCCGTTTTGGGAATGATATGAGACCATTTGCAATGGCGGATTCTTAGAGAGAATCCTTAGGAAAATATTAATTTTATAATTATTAGGTCCCACGAACAGTTAAATATTTTAAGAATAAAATCCTTATGCAAGAATAAAATTCTTATATAAGGATTGATCATTACACTATTTGCGGGCTCCACGGTTCACGTGGCGGTCCGTGAATGGTCATTTAAAAAAAAAAATCTAAAATATCTTCATGTAATCCGAAATACCCTTTTTCTTTTTTTCATAAGGATTCAAGTATCTGCCATTGCGGATGTAGTGAAGAAGACCACTGGGCCTGAAAAGAAAGCTTAAGACGCAGCGCATTGACGTTCTTAGTTTCTGTGTTTTATTCTTCCTTTCCGTTTTCCGCTTGCTCTGCTAGCATATAAATTGGCAAGAAAACCCTAACTCTCCTTCTCTAATCCGTCACCTGCCTCTCGAGCTACCAATCTTAGGTACAACCCTCGTAACTTATCCTTTTGATCTCTTGAACCGTTTGGTATTCTCAGGGCTTTGTGAGACGATTCTAGTGTTACATAGGTGAACTTTAGGGAACGCTTGATTTTGTTATTAAACGAATTAGCCAGTCTTAGTCTATATATATATATATTCACATTGAAATCAAGTTGTGCGTTTATATTCATGAATGACTTAATATCATTCCTGTTTTTTGTTTAACTTAGGATTTTTATTGTTGCGGGTGTGATTTAGTTATTTAGCAGAGGCTTTGAGTTTGGGGGGGGGGGAGAAAATGGTGAGAATCAGTGTACTCAACGATGCTCTCAAGGGGATGAACAATGCCGAGAAACGTGGCAAGAGACAGGTCATGATCAGGCCCTCTTCTAAAGTCATAATTAAGTTTCTTACCGTCATGCAGAAGCACGGTACTGTCATTTTTTTTCATTAAATGTACAGAATCATTTGAGACTTAGAGAGTTTGGTTCCTTAAATGCAGGCTACATCGGTGAGTTTGAGTATGTTGATGACCACCGATCTGGCAAAATCGTTGTCGAATTGAACGGAAGGTTGAACAAGTGTGGTGTTATTAGCCCTCGTTTTGATGTTGGTGTTAAGGAGGTTGAAAGTTGGACTGCTCGTCTGCTTCCTTCCAGACAGGTTCGCTGTAAAAACTAGCTTGCGAAGTAGAGAATCACTTTCTTTAACTTGTCTCAAGAGTAGAGAATCACTTTCTTGAATTTGTATTAATGGATTGAAACCTACTGAAATATGCAGTTTGGATACATTGTTCTAAGTACTTCCGCTGGCATTATGGACCATGATGAGGCCAGGAGAAAGAATGTTGGAGGCAAGGTTCTCGGCTTCTTCTATTGAAGTTCTTATGGAGATAGAGACTTCTTCTTCTTTATGCTATTTTTAACTCTTCTTTGAGTCTTCCGTGTGTTTTTGTTTCGAATTTTTGTAGTAACTTTTACTGCATAGGGGGGCTATAATTACTTTCTCTGATCTATTGAATGATTTTATTTAGACTACAATAAATACTCTCGTGATCCGTCCTTCATCAGTCTATCTAAAGTCCTCTTTATTCAGTCTCGATTAACTTATCTTTAAAATCATTTTACAGATCATGACAAAAACCAATGCAGACCCGTAAGACATTTTATGTTTGTAACGTTAGCCTCAGTTCTTACAATCATGAATGTGTGTTTTATTGAACTCTTTTATATGGTTGGACAAGTAGTTAAATATCAAATTTCCATAACCAATTCATTACAGTGTCACATCCGATGGAGACAATCATGCAGATACAGAATTCGTTAATTCGTTACATGAAGAAATCTTATCTTGCGGGGATATAAGATGTATATAGTAAACACACAAAAAGCTAACAACACATCATTGTTGTTCTTTATCAATAGAACCTGGAAAACAAAACTCCTCAAGAACACAAGTACTAACTGCCAAAGGTTACAAAGTTGCCCAATTTTCTAATTCTAATTTTCTCCCATAAAAATCAATCACACCTCATTAGAAAATGGTCTACCGATCACTCTCCCACCTCCAGCCTATCTCCGTCGTGAGTTTCTTCTCATGTCCCGCGCCGAGAAAGCTCGGAAGAAGCTTCATGTATATATGTAAGTGATCAGAGAGAGAGAGAGGAAGGTTTAACGAGCATCATCCATTGAAGGCCTTTACGACCTCAAAAGAGAAGCCAAATGAGAGAGACGTCTTCTTTTAGTGTTTATAGACACAAAAGTGGGTCGTTGTAGAGAGTATCTTCGAAAGCATATGCTTCAAACCATTAACTTAGCTGACCTGAGACTCCATTATTATTACTTTTTCACTTTACATTTTGTTGTTATTATTATTATTTTTGTAGTTATTGACGTGTAAGTAACATGGGTTGCTTGCCACGAAAGTAGAAAGAAAGTGAGGACCTCTTTTGCACTAGTTGTTTCTCATTGGACTACCTCCCCACTGTTCGTTCAATCAGTCAATTTTACGAGGTTACCAAAACTAGTCCATTTTTGTATTTATTAGTTAAATTTACTTTGGGAGTTTTTAGGTCATGTTGGTAGGTAACACATGTTCCCATTTATGAAAACTCCTTATATTTCTATCAACAAGTTGCTTTCCTTTGTTATCTAATTCGTATTTGCAAACTGTTACTCCTTAGCTGCTGATATTTTCGTTGGACAAGTCCGTATATAACTTATTTTACCTTTTTTGTAATGTGAAGATAATCACAAACACATTCAAACAAAATCCAAACCTATTGTTTTTAGTTTGCAAAACGTTGATCATTCAATCAAAGTCCGATTCTATATTTTTCATAAAGTATCACAAATATTTGAGCTCATCATAAACGGAAGAGGACTGTACTAATGCATTTTAACGACATGTGTGATAGATAGGATTTATGTTTATTATGTGACTACAATGACCACTCGAGTGGCTGTAGTTTAGTGGTGAGAATTCCACGTTGTGGCCGTGGAGACCTGGGCTCGAATCCCAGCAGCCACACTTCTTTTTCAGTTGTCCTTTTTTTACTGATATGGGCCTGTAATTTGTTTTCGGCAAAAAGTTGCTGGCTCAGCTGGGCCTATATTACTTGGAAAATCGTTTGACTTAAAATTAATTAAACAAATAGAGAAATAAGATTTTGCTGCATAAAATAATGGATTGTATCTTTAAATTTTGTTGCCAGCGATTTATATCTAAACTAATCCGTCATGTTGATCGTTGGGATTAAATAAAAATTTCATCTTTTTTTTTTGTTTACAGACTGGTTGTCAATTGTATTATTAGATAACTCCGTTAAGATAATATACAGCCTCGTCATCAGATCCCACGTTCCTTAAAAATAAATCGAAAATAATCCCCTATATATTAATTGAGAAACATTTGAAAAGATGTAACCTCAAGTTTGTAATAATTAAAAAGTAACCTTGCTTAGTTGTCAATCAATTAGCATACCAATTAAACTAACGTGGCAGCTTTAAGTTCAATTGAAATTTGCTAGGAAAAAATAATTAGAGACGCATATAACGCATGTAACATAGTTTATATATATCGCACGCATGTAATGGAAGAAAAGGAAAATATACGATTTGATAACGATTTGCATATTTGCATGTAATGGTTTTATGGAAGTGTATATGTAAAATGGAAATTACTTTGTGACCAAGTACATACTTAATGGAGGTTGAAAAATTAATTTAATAAATAAAACCTACGGAATTACCATAAATGACTAATATATATATGTGATACTTAATGATTGTTCCCTAAGATATAATTACTATTTTATTTTATTTTCATAAATAAAACCTACGGAATTACCATAAATGACTAATATATATATATATATATATATATATATATATATATATATATATGACACTTAATGATTCTAATAATAAATATTTGATAACATTTTATATATCCTCCATCATTTTTCTTTAATTTTATATTATTAAAATAAATTAAACAATCAAATTAGCTATAAAATTAAACTTTAGATTTTTTCGTATAGGTTATATTTTGAATTTTAAGAAACAAGAATAAATAACTAANAACAATCAAATTAGCTATAAAATTAAACTTTAGATTTTTTCGTATAGGTTATATTTTGAATTTTAAGAAACAAGAATAAATAACTAAACTATTAAAATTATTATGTTAAAAATTAATGATCAATAGTTTAACATTTTATTATAAAAAGATATACATGATTTTAAAACCATATAAGTAAAAAGTATCATTCAATAATAAAATAAATATATATATATACAGATTAAACTATATACCATATAAGATTACATAAATATTTCAATTTCAAAATTTTCAATAAATTTTCAAGAACATTTATAAATTATAAACTTATTAAATTTTTCACATTGAAATTTTTTGTTATCAATGATTTAAATATCTTAGTTCTTTTTTAATTTTATATTTTTAAAAGATATTAACAATCGATAATATGGTTATTTTTGGTATATACCATACAAACCGAATAGATGTGATTTTATAAAAATCATAGGATTTGGATATGGTTTGATTTATAATCGATTAAACTGAAACATGTAAATATGTATATATTTATAACGACGCATGAATATCTATTTGTTACATGAGTTGAACTATAATTATAATTTGTAAATAGCTAACAATTTATCACAACTAAGACTTCTTATTTTGATCTTTTGCTTTTTTAACAATAACTAAATTGAAGTAAAGATTATAAATTTGATGGACAACAATTAGTTGAAATTCTTTACAACTTTTTTTTATCTTTAAACAAACAAAGTTGTGTTCAATCGAAGACATATTGGTTTGATGAACACTAAATATGGAAGAATATAAAAACTTTTCTTTNTTACAACTTTTTTTTATCTTTAAACAAACAAAGTTGTGTTCAATCGAAGACATATTGGTTTGATGAACACTAAATATGGAAGAATATAAAAACTTTTCTTTCATGCTTCTGTTTTGTTTTTTATTTTTATTTTCAAAATTTAGTGTTTTGATATTAATTCTAGATTTGATCATTTTATTAGATGATAGAAGCTTTTTTTTTGTTTTTTTATTCTTTTATTTAAATATATAATATTTTTTTAATAAATAACTCTGTGACAATATGACTCTAAATATGATCATATTATATATTTGTATAATATATAATATGATCTCAAACTAAATAATTATGTTTTTTGGTATAAAATTGAATAAACTGAAAACCGATGGTATATAAACCAAATCAAACTGAAGTACATATAGATTTAGAATAATAGTTATATTTTAATGATCGAAATACCAAAAAATCGAGCCGAACCGAAACCCGATATCCGGATTGAACACCTCTAATCCGAATGAAACCAAACTATTGTTTCATTTTTAAAAACATAATAAAAATAATAGTTTCATCCCGCGCAAGACGTGGGTCTTATCCTAGTTACAGAATTATATCTGCAATTTCTTTAAATAAACGCACGATAAGATTTCTTCATTTCATCCTTAATCCTATTCAAAGATAAAAACGCACAGAAGGAAAAGATAATATCAGACACTACCATATCGGAAAGTAAATACGGTGACAAAATAATACGTTTAACAAAAATTAAGGGATTCGATTCGTCCAATAGTAATCCATCAGTTTCAGTAAGATTTATTCAATAGCATTAAATTAATTCAAAACGAAGAACGTGATGGATTCCGTTAATTTAAAATTTTAAAACAAACTGAATCATCTGCGAAAAAAAGCATCTTTATTCGGTAGAGTCAACATAGATAATTACAAAATTAAAGAAACAAAATAATCACCCGATCGTGACCATAAAGAAATGGATTACAATAATTATCCCAAAAGTAAAAAACGTAATCTCATCGTAACGGATTAACCTTCTTCCATTGTATATATATACGCGTCACGTCTCATTCACAACTCACATATCAAAAAAAAAATACACTCTTTACCTTTCTTTAAACTCTCTCTTCCTCTCTGAATCTTTGAGTCTTCTTTAAAGAAACGATGGAGCTTGATCTTACACCGAAGCAGCCTAAGCAAGTGTACGGAGGAGATGGAGGATCATACTTCGCGTGGTGCCCAGAGGAGTTGCCGATGCTTAAAGACGGTAACATCGGAGCAGCAAAGCTTGCTCTTAAGCAACATGGTTTCGCTGTTCCTCGTTACTCTGACTCTCCTAAGGTTGCCTATGTTCTTCAAGGTTCGTAAATTTGTTGACTTTATTGTGATTCATGCGTTTACTTTGATCTTGATCCTGAGATCTGTCAAAACCTGATCTTTTCTATGGTTGTGTTTTTTTTGTTTCTTCCAAAGTTGTTAACTTTATTAAAAGTATATGCAAAAAAAAAAAGTAATCTTTTTTTTTTGTTAGATCACGTTTTGATCGTTGAATCTAATAATCTGACGTGTAAGTTAATGAAAGGTAGTGACTTTACTCTTTGTTGATCAGGATCTGGAACTGCTGGGATTGTACTACCTGAGAAGGAGGAGAAGGTGATTGCTATCAAAGAAGGTGACTCTATTGCTATTCCTTTTGGTGTGGTTACATGGTGGTTCAACAGTGAGGAGAAAGATCTTGTTATTCTCTTCCTTGGTGAAACCCACAAGGCTCACAAGAGAGGAGAGTTCACTGACTTTTACCTAACCGGTTCAAACGGAATCTTTACCGGTTTCTCTGAGGAGTTTGTTGGCAGAGCGTGGGATTTGGATGAGGGGACTGTGAAGAAGCTTGTGGGTTCTCAAACCGGTAAAGGGATTGTGAAGCTTGACGCTGGTTTCAAGATGCCACAGCCCAAGAAAGAGGACCGTGAAGGGTTTGTTTTGAACTGTTTGGAAGCTCCTCTTGATGTTGACATTAAGGACGGTGGGAGAGTTGTTGTTTTGAACACTAAGAACCTTCCTTTGGTTGGGGAGGTTGGGTTTGGTGCTGATCTTGTTAGAATTGATGCACATTCGATGTGTTCTCCTGGTTTCTCTTGTGACTCTGCTCTTCAGGTGACTTACATCGTTGCTGGGAGTGGGAGAGTCCAGGTTGTTGGTGCTGATGGGAAAAGAGTTCTTGAGACTCACATCAAGGCTGGTTCTCTGTTTATTGTTCCGAGGTTCTTTGTGGTTTCGAAGATTGCTGATCCTGAGGGCATGTCTTGGTTCTCCATTGTGACTACTCCAGAGTAAGATTCTCCTATTCGTTTCTATGCTTTATTATTTGTTTCTTTCAAATGGAAAGAAACTAAAAGTTGTGTGTGTGTTTTTGTAGTCCGATCTTCACGCATTTGGCTGGGAGGACATCGGTTTGGAAAGCATTGTCTCCAGAGGTTTTGCAGGCGGCGTTTAAGGTTGATCCGGAGGTGGAGAAGTCTTTCCGTTCAAAGAGAACTTCGGACGCCATTTTCTTCCCTCCTTCCAAGTGAAGAAGGTGGAGAGAGGAGAACAAGAACCAGCTTTGTCATTAATCCTTGTTTTTTCTTTCTGTTTCTCTCTTGCTTGTGATCCAAGGAAGTATCACTTTTAGGGTTTGCTTGTCTTTCTGTGTTTTATCCTGGACCGGTTCTTGTTCTCTTTGTTGATCTTCAGGCTTTGTTATTGAAATAAAACAGTACTATTTTTTATCAATCTTTCGTAACTTTCTTGAAATACACCATTTTTTAACATGAAGCTGGCTCAAGAGGCCGAACACGAGATCTCATACTATTTGTTTAGTTGTTTAGCAAAAAAAAAAAAAGTATTCGTAACATGTCTTCTTCGGATAACGTAGATATTATAATTGCATCATAATGTAGTTCGGAAAGTAAACAAAAGAGATGAATCTGTTTAATTTATTTGTCGGGAACTTGTTATCAGTTTGCGTTATTCATTATAAAGTTATTGAATCAGGTTAAACCATGACACAGTGAACAGTAATATTACATACGATTTGATAATGTTAGTATTAACTCATTATATTTATTAAAAATTTTGAAACTTCAACAATGAAGAGGAGGTATACCACAAGCCGAGAAAGCTTTATGAGCATTGTTGGATTTAATATACTGACCATAAACTGGCTCATTTATGTAACCACATAGACACGGCTCTTCTTTTTTCAGCATTGCGCAACACTGTGTTGACGGCTTAGATCTGGTTTTTACAGCTGGGCTGCATGGTTCAAGTTCTTTCGGATTGCATACCACTAATTTCTCATCTTCCACGACTGCATTGGTGAGAGCCAAAGACGACAAAAGGATTATCACAAATGCGATGCATATTGCTCCTGTGAACTTCATGTTTTATAACCTTATTGTCTCTTTTCAAACTAGAGCTAGATAGTTTTTTTTTTTTAATGAAAAACTTGCTTGATGATTGTGAGGTGTTGATAGTCGACTTATTTATAAGAGTTATTCTTAGGTTCACCCCCTGGGGTGAACCTCAACCAATAGGATGGTGCTATTTCATATTTGATATCTTTTTTAAAAGGAAATAAAATCTTGTTAAATTATATTCTGTTTTTAAAATAAAAATAGAAAAAATAAATAAAAAATAACAATATGAAAAAAACTAAAAAAAGTTATTTAATATTAAAACACTAAACCCTAAACCCTAATCCTAGACCCTAACCCTTGGATAAATCATATACCATTTGGAAAAATCTTAACCCTTGGGTAAATTAATACGAACCAATTATACTGTTTTTTATTTATTTTTACTTTTTATTTTAAACACATTTTTTTATTTTAAAGATATATTAAAAGATTTTTGTTTTAAATTGTTTTTTTCCAATTATTACTGTTTTTATTTTATTTTTATCTTTTATTTTAAAACATAATATAATGTTAAAATATATTTTTAAAGAATTTTTTTTTTCATTTTTTGTAAATATTATTATTCTTATTTATTTTGTTCTAGTTTTATTTTAAAAACATAATATAATTTGACAAGATTTTGTTTCTTTTTTTAAAAGATATCAAATATGAAATAACACCATCCTATTGGTTAGTGAACGTAAGAATAAGTCTATTTATAATAGGTAGAGACTGGAATAAAGTTTGCAAGAATAGGCTGGCTTTTTATCTAAGTGCAGTTTGTCATTTATAATTAAATCTTGAAGCATTTATTTTTATAATCATAAGATATTGACATATGTATACAAGTATATATATTCACTACAAGAAAACACGCCTTTAACGAGGAAGAATTACGAGGAATTTCCTTCCTCGTAATGGTACGAGTACGTTACAAGTCGTTTACGACGAAATTCATATTCGTCGTAATGAACTAGTTACGTTACAAGAAAACGCCTTCGTCGTAAACGACAAGTAAATTTACGACGAAGGTACTAGGCAAAGAAAGATTCGTTGTAAAGACGAAGTAAAGTTACAAGTACATTACGAGTAATGTTTAACCATTAAAAGTAAACAAAAACGTGTTCTTAAGTAAATACTTTCGTTGTAACATGGTTGTAAAGCATGTACAAATGCCTTGTAAAATCGTAGTAAAAGGGTTCCATGTAAATTCGTTGTTAAATCTTTACCAACCAAACACGAAAATTTTCTATATATATGTCATTCATACTCACTCCTAAGAACACCACAAACAAAAACAAAAAAATTCGTAGAAAGAAAAAAATTTCGTAGAAAAAAAAATCGATAACTTATGTATCGATTTTTGAAGAAATTATAATGCATGAACAGTCACCAGAACAGTTCTAATCAACTCCTGGTAACTTTTTTTCGAGAAGTCGATAAATAGATACGAGAAGTTGATGAGAACTGTTCTGGTAACTGTCCACGCATTTTAGGTTTGTTTAAGTAATGAAGAAAAAATTTTATCCAATTTTTTTTTTAACTTTCATTGTAAATTCGTCGTAAATTTACTATGGCTTTACGACGAATACTGGTAGGTGAACACGACTTTAATGTGTAACTGATGTCGTTGTAAACAGGTTGTAACCTATATGTTAGAGACATGTAATATCCATGTAAATATGTTCCTTGTAAATACGTTGTAAATTTTCACCTACCAATTTTCATGGGTTTGCTATATATATGAGCATTTCTCATTTCTCAATTTATACCACCACACAAAAAGAAATTAAAAAAATGTCGGATGGAAGAAATATTTTCGAATTACGGAGTTGGATGTATACGCATAAAGATTCCGACGGTAGAGTGACGAATGAATTTCTTAGCGGGCTTGAGACGTTCATGAACCAGGCAACATGTACACCGCTCACGCGGGAAAGTGGTAAGATGTTCTGTCCTTGTCAGAAATGCAAGAATTCAAAATTTGCTCGTACGGAAACTGTCTGGAAACATTTAGTACACAGAGGTTTTACACCACAGTATTATATTTGGTTTCAACATGGGGAGGGTTATGGAGGAAATGAAGCTAGTAGTAGTAATAGTAATTTTCGGAATGTCAGTAATAATCAGGGT